AACGCTCCCTCTGGGCCAGGCCTGTCCTGGGTACTCCACCAATGCTGATTCACATCAGCTTCAAAGCCCTGTGAGTGGGTACTACTGCTGCCCGCCTTGTACAGGTGCGGACGCTGGGGCCCAGCCCGAGGTCACACAGCCAGCAAGAGCAAGAACTCGGCAGGGAGCCCCGACCTCCCAAGCAGCTCCTCCAGGAAGCTCGCCCCTCGGCCGCCTCCCCGCCTCCACATTCCCCGTGCCCTGCTAGGCGCTGCCCCTGTCTGAGCCCCCTCACCCGACCGCCAGCCCTGTCCTGGACCACAGGCACCCCAGACCCTCAGAGCCAAACAGATCATGTCACCCACAGGCGAGGCAACAGAGGCCCCGAGAGGTGTTTGACACCCATGTCCCCCAAATCATAAAGGTACTAGGAGAGGAAGAGAAGAAGCCTACTAAAAACAACCAGAAATATTCGCGAAGCGTTCACTGCGACTGGGCTCCAGGCACTGGGGACCCAGCACTGACAGCACCCAGGCCCCGCCCCGGTGGGCCCACAAGCTGGGAGGGAGGTGACACTTGGCACGAACGCCAAGGAACAGGATCGTTTCAGCTTCCAGCGGCCGCTGTACCGGAGAAAGCAGTAAAGCGGCAGGCGTGAAGAGCGGGGCCGGGAAGGCGTCTCCGGGCCGGGTCCTCGGCGCGCCGGCGGGGCCCTGCATGGTGAGGGCAGGGGCGGGCCGGGAGCTCCCAGCCGCATCCCCCACACCGGAAGAAGACGGAACGAGGAAGCGGGCAGGGCGGGGCTAGGCGGCCGGCCAGAATGGGCCGCCGGGACCCACAGGAGGGGAGACCTGGCGGCGGCCCTACGGACGGGGGGGCGTTCCCGCGGCGCGCGTCCTCCTGCAGGAACCCCCGCGGGGGCGGGGCGCGCGGCGGGCCGGGTATTCCGGGCCAGGAAGCAAGATCGCGATTGGCTCCCGGCGGGGGTGGGCGGGGCCTCCGCAGCCTGGTGCGCACACCGCCGGGAGGCGTTGGCGGGGGCGGGGGGGGGGGCGGGGGCGGGCGCGCGGGGCGGTGCAGCGCGCGGGCTGCCGTTGGCGGCGCGGCCCCGCCCCGGATGCCGCGCGTCGCGGCCGGGGCGGCGGCGATTGGTGGGTGCGGCGCGGGGGCGGAGCGGAAGGTTCTGGAGGGGGCCGGCGGGCTCTGGAAGCTTCCGCCGGACGGGTATATAGAGTCGGGCGGGCGGCGGCGGGGCGGCGGCCGCGGGCCATGGGCAAAGACTACTATCAGACGCTGGGCCTGGCCCGCGGCGCGTCGGACGAGGAGATCAAGCGGGCCTACCGCCGTCAGGCGCTGCGCTACCACCCCGACAAGAACAAGGAACCGGGCGCCGAGGAGCGCTTCAAGGAGGTGGCCGAGGCCTACGACGTGCTCAGCGACCCGCGCAAGCGCGACATTTTCGACCGCTTCGGCGAGGAGGGTGCGTGCGCAGCCGCCGCCGGTTGACGCGAGGCAGGGCGGCCCGGCCCGGCCGGCGCGCGGTGGAGGGGGGGGCCCGGCCGCGGCTGCGGAAGCTCCCGGGGCGGGGCTCGCGGGGCGGGGACTCACTGGGCGGGGGCGGGGCTGCGGGCCGGGTGGGGGTCGCGCGGGCGGGGGGACGCGGGGACGTGGTCAGGTCGGCGGTCTCCGCTTGCACTCCCAGCCCCGTCCCCTCCCTGGGGTCGCCAAGGGGCGTGCTGTCCCGGAGGCGCCCGGCCTCCTGCGGTCGCGGGCGCGGGGCCCGGGGCGCGGGGCCCGGGGCGGCCAGGCCGGCGGCTCACGGCGTCGTCCCCGCCTCCAGGCCTGAAGGGCGGCGGCCCCAGCGGCGGGGGCGGCGGCGGCGCGAACGGCTCGTCCTTCAGCTATACGTTCCATGGGGACCCGCACGCCATGTTCGCCGAGTTCTTCGGCGGCCGAAACCCGTTCGACACGTTCTTCGGGCAGCGCAACGGCGAGGAGGGCATGGACGTGGACGACCCGCTCTTCCCCGGCTTCCCCATGGGCGTAGGCGGCTTCCCCACCGTGAACTTCGGCCGCCCCCGGCCCGCCCCGGAGCCCGCGCGCAGGAAGCAGGACCCGCCGGTCACGCACGACCTGCGCGTGTCGCTGGAGGAGATCTACAGCGGCTGCACCAAGAAGATGAAAATCTCGCACAAGCGGCTCGGCCCCGACGGCAAGAGCGTGCGCAACGAGGACAAGATCCTCACCATCGAGGTGAAGCGCGGCTGGAAGGAGGGCACCAAGATCACTTTCCCCAAAGAGGGCGACCAGACCTCCAGCAACATTCCTGCCGACATTGTCTTCGTGCTCAAGGACAAGCCGCACAATGTCTTCAAGAGGGACGGCTCTGACGTCATTTACCCGGCTCGGATCTCTCTCCGGGAGGTAGGCGCGGGCGGTGGGGAGGCGGGCCAGGGGGCGGGCCGGGGTCTCCCGGGCACTTGTCGGGGCGCTGGGCGTGGACCTGGGGGCGGGCCTGGGGTGCCTGCGTCTGTCGTCTGCCTGACACTGTTCCTCCTCTTAGGCTCTCTGCGGCTGCACGGTGAACGTGCCCACCCTGGACGGCAGGACCATCCCGGTCGTGTTCAAAGACGTCATCCGGCCCGGCATGCGACGTAAGGTCCCCGGAGAAGGCCTCCCGCTGCCCAAGACGCCCGACAAACGCGGAGACCTCGTCATCGAGTTCGAGGTGGTGTTCCCCGAGAGAATCCCGCAGACGTCGAGAACCGTGCTGGAGCAGGTGCTGCCGGTCTAGCCCCAGGTCCCGACGCGGAGCTCATGGATTTGCGGACGGTGGCCCCGTGGTGGCCCCGTGTGAGGGCGGGAGGGCCCGGGGAGGGCTCCCGCGCTGCTGAATGTTCCCACAGAATATATTACAATCTTTCAAAGTCGAGCGCCAGACTTAAGTGGTTCTTCCAGCTGTAGGGCAGCCGGTGGTGGGGATGGCAGTGAAGACCCTGCAGTCTGTCCCGCCGGGTCCTGAGCCGCCTCCTCCAGGCTCTCCCAGGGGCCAGAGGCAGACCGGCCGCTGGACTCGATCCCTTTGCGGTCCTTTGCTTGCGGCCCTTCGGGGGCGTCCACCTGCCGTCTCTGTCACCAGACCCGCCCGCTCCTCGGCTTCTGCGGTGGGATTGGTGCGTTTGGTTCTGTTTGTTCCCCCGTCTTGCTCATGCACTGAAGAATGTCGTCTCCTGTTTTGTCGTCTCGAGTTGGGAAACCTCGAGTGTGCGCAGAGCTGCCTGCCCGGCGCCGCCCGGAGCAATACCTCCATCCTTGCCGGCCCCAGGCTGGGTGCGCTCAGGGTCCCGCCCTTCTCCTGGCGATGAGGCGGTGAGGCATGCCCGGGGCTCAGCAGTGGCCCCGGGACTTTCTCTAGTGGACTTTGGACTCATTCAGAGGGATCTGATCCTTTTGAATTTGGCACAGCCCTAAATATCCCTTTTGATAAAAGGGTCTTTGCTCCTGATTACAGGAGCACCGTAGAACGTCTGTAAATATGTTTTTATAATTCTGTGTAAAATTGGTGTGCACTCAAGAGAAACCAGTCCCGGTAGCTGCTTCCTGCATAGGGCCATGATGGAGTCCAGAAGGAACGGGGGTGGGGGGCGGGGGGGGGCGCGCCTGTGCCCTGCAGGCTAGTCTGGTGCTCAGACCTTGAGATTCGTTGTAAGTTGCCACTGCCAACGTGAGCGCGAAGCGTGTGACTTGTCAATGTGCAGCGCCGCAGCATTAAAGACTGATGCCAAACCTTGGGCCGGCGGTCCTGCGACTCTGTTTGAGGGCTCTGCTGGCGGGGCGGCGGCGGGCGGCGGGGCTGCCTTCCTGAGTGGGGGTGGGCTGGAGAGGCCCTTGTAGTCAACCGGTCTTTTGTGGAGGTCAAGGCCGGAGTTCAAGCAGTTCCCCTGCCGCCTTCCAGGGCCTGTCGCTGGGCGTGGGGCGCACGGTCTGCCGTGTCCCCCGCCGCCCCCTCCTTGCTGGAACAGGCTGGTGTCAGGCAGGCTGGCCGAGCCGGACTGGGATTCCTGCCCGGGGCCTCGCCCAGGGTAAGGCCCATTTCCTGCTCCTGCTCTGTGTGCAGCCGCAGGAGCTTTTACTTTGTAGGTTTTTTTAAGGAACTGGTTTTATTATAAAGTGAGTAATTACACGGTTTGAAAACAATGTATTGCTGCTTAGCTACAAAAAGTCTTCGAGTAAAAACTTCAGTAACACCATATTTAAGGTCAACCTAGGAGTGGCTTTCCCTTCCCACTGAAACCATGTAACCGGTGAAAATAGTGTGGGGCCAGCGCTGTCCCGGAGTTTTCTGCAGTAACGGGAATGTTCTCTGTTTTTAAAATGGAAACTGTTTTAGAGTCAAATAAAACTAAAAACTTGGTTACTTGGTCATTCCAGCCACATTTCAAGTGCTCAGCAGCTACATGTGGCTAGTGGCAAAGAGTGGACAGTGCAGTTTAAGCCATGGCTTCTCCCCCAAATGTAAGACCCGAGTTTCCTTAGAAGAGCAGCCTCAAGGGGCCGGCCCGGTGGTGCAGTGGTTAAGTGCGCACATTCCGCTTCAGCGGCCCAGGGTTCCCTGGTTGGGACATGGCACTGCTTGTCAAGCCATGCTGTGGCAGGCGTCCCACATAGAAAATAGAGAAAGATGGGCACGGATGTTAGCTCAGAGCCAGTCTTCCTCAGCAAAAAGAGGAGGATTGGCGGCAGATGTTAGCTCAGGGCTAATCGTCCTCAAAAAAAAAAAAAATTTCCTTCCAATGAGGGATGTCATGGGCGAAGCCAATTGTCACATAGCAGATAGGAGAATGTTTCGCTGTGTAACCTGTGTCTACTTCTTGGGGTCATTAGGAGAGTTAAATGGCCTGGCTCATGGCAAGCTCTGTTTAAGCACTGTCGCCATCCCAGCCCCATCCAGCAGAACTATGCACATGCACGCGCAACTTTGAATTTTCTCATAGTCACATTCAAATAATAAAAAGGTGAAATTAATTTGAATACACTTTATTTAGCCCAATACATCAACATTACTATTACTGTGACATGGAATCAGTATAAAATGAGTTAACAAGATGTGATATACCCTTCTGTTTGTACTAAGTCTTAGAAAGCCGGTGTGCTTTCCACTGACCGGACAGCTCAGTTTGCATTAGCCACACTTCAAGTGCTCAGGAGCCATGTGTGGAGAGTGGAGAGTTCACGTTGGATCAGATGGGACAGTGCAGATCTAGAGTCTGAGGAACACATGCAAATCAACAAGAACAAGACAGCAACCCCCAGCGAGACATAGGCAGAGTCTGAACGGGCGTTTACAGAAGAGGAAGACCCGCAGGCCATCAAGCCAAGGAAGAGATGCACAAAGTGATTAGAAATCAGAGAAACGTAAAGTAAAGCAATAGGATGTCACTTGACAGTGAGTCAGAGTGGCAAAAATTAGAAGCTGGATAATACCAGTGGCTGGCGGAGATATGGGGACGTGGGACTCTCCCCCACTGTCAGTGGGTGTGATGGGGGCAGCTGCTCTGGGGGCCACGTAGTAGTTGAGTTCGCCCTGTGCCCCAGCACCTCTGCAGCCAGGTCTCTCTTCTGTGGAGGCTCTCCCCAGGTCCCTAAGGGGGCATATCCGTGGCTGTTCACTGTGGTGTGGTGAGCTGGAGGCTGCCTGGTGTCCGTCCCTGGGGAACAGAGGACTCAGACGGAAGGGGTGCATTCCGTGGGGCACCAAGGCTCAGTTAGAAGAAAACAGATTCAAGACATTAGCAATACAGATGGATCTTCACTTCCTAGTGTGAAACAAACGAGTAAACAAGCAATACAGTGCTGAGTGTGAAAAAAGTAAGAGACCAAATACAACATAACACACACATAAAACAATGCACATTTTCAGAGAAAGACACAAACTGGTGCATGTTAAACCCACTGGAGGGCTGCCTCTGGGGATGGGAGGGAAAAGGGGGTATTTCATTCCAATGTCTATACTGCAATTTTCAAAGCTGTAGGAAACTTACAAGAATAGTGAAATGAACACCCAGATGCCTCTCTCCTGGGTTCAGTGGCAATTGTTATTATTCTGCCCTGTTTGCTCTCTTTCCATCTCCCTATATACTAATACTAATGTATACCACATTTCAATATAGTATATAAAATGTTGCATACATTTATCATTTTTTTCTGAGCCATTTGACAGTCGCAGGCCTCATAAACTTAGCACCAAAGAATTCAGCGTGTGTCTCTTAAGAACAAGAACATCCTCTGGTCTCACCACAGCACAGCGCTCACACTCAGAGAGTTTGACATGGCTATGATGTCATTGTATAATATCCACTCCACATTCACATATCCCCGATTTGCCCAAGAATATCCTTCATAGACTGTTCTATCTTTTTTTGAAATTTTTATCGAGGATCCAATCAAGGATCATACATTGATTTTGGTTGTCATCTCTCTTTTGTCTCCTCCAATCTAGAATTGTTCCCCAGCCTTTTGTTTATTCACTCATTTAGTTAACGGACAGATTTTGCCGTTCATGACGTAGACCTGTTTGAAGAGTCCAGGTCAGCTTGCTTTTTGCAGAACATCCTCAGTCGGGATGTGTGTGGTTGTCTCGTCAGGTTACACACTTTGGGCAGGACCAAGTACTTCACAGGTGTTGCTGCGTCCTTCTCAGTAAATCACGGCAGGGGGCGTGCGAGGACGGCCTTCCCATCACGGGTGAGTCGGCTGTAATCCCTTGGTTAAGGCGCTGACCTCCACGTTTATCCCCTGTGCCTTTTTCTCTTTTCCCCATTGTAAGGAACAAGCACTCTAAGGGCTGGTCCTGAGCCTACTGAATACCCATTCCCCATGGACGAGCCCGCCTGCATCACTGATGCCTCAGTTTTCAGGCATGCCTCTTGAGCTATAAAATTGGGGAGGAGGTGCCTGGCACTGCTCTGTGCCCTTGGGCACCCCCCTCATCCCTGCCTGGGCACTTCCTCCTCAGTCCACAGGTGGATTCCGGCTCAAGATTCTGCTGCCCTGCAGCCCCACCTACTGCCCCCTCCAGGTGTGTGGGGGCAGCTCAGATGTCAGGGGCAGGTAGAGCAGTGGGCACAGTCCCACACAGGGCTCTGGCCCAGCCGAGGCCACTGATCGCTCCGTGGGAGTAGCAGAGGTCAGCAGAACAGGAAGAGGAGGACAATGGCTGTGCCTGTTGCCACGGCAGTCGCGGTGTTTGTCAGCTGGGTGGGGCCGCCGGGCAGCCCTCAGCAGCTAAGCCCAGGGCCCACTCTCCCCTTTCACATTGCACCTCTGCAGGCCCAGGCAGGGCTGGGATGCACAGCAGCGCACTCTGGGGACTGCAAAGACCCAGGCATTCAATGAGGCTTGAGCAGGGTCGCAGCAATTAGAGGCCTCCAGGAACTACAAATCCCAGAACACACAGCGAACTCCTGGTCTAGCCCCAGCTGCCCAAGGGGCTGGCTTTGAACCAGAACAAGGAAATCTCACCAGTCCTGGGAACCAAGGGTCCTGGCCTGTGCGAGGTGCGTTTGTGTCTCTGTTTCCTGGACCTGTTCCCGCCTGAGAAATCCCGGTTACAAGCCAAACCTAGAGGTGGTCTTACCTGGTCCTTTCATCCACACTTGTGCTGAGACCCGGCTCTGTGCGGGACCGGGGTGGGGGACAGTCAGCTGGAGGAGACAGACTCATGGAAGGTCAGCTCCCCGAGGGCAGGACCGCGGCGAGCTGGGCGCCCTTCGTAGTGTAGCACGGAGTATGTGCTCAGTAAGTATTCGCCGGTCTAAGCAACACGCGAGCAGGCCATCTCGCGCCGCTCCCCGCACCGCTGCACCCTTTCACACGGCTTTGCCAGCTCCTCCGAGAGTGCACCATCCTAAATAAAGCGTGCTGGATCCCTCCGGCCGTCCTCTAGGCCTTTGCACGCACTGTTCCCTCCACCAGGAGCAGAGATAGGCCAAAGCCTGGCCTGGAGCAAGGGCACGTTAAATATTTGACGCGTGAACGAATGAATGAATGAACGTCCTTGTCCATTGTACGCCCCAGGGAGCAGGGACACTCGGACCCTCCCTATTCATCTCGTCCTCCGCCCGCCCGCCTGGAATGAATGCGTCTTTTCATCCGCTCCGAGGATGCCGGGTTTGGGCAGGGGCGGGCCCGGCCGAGGACTGGGGGCCGCCCTCCGCCCTCTGCCGGGTTTCCTGAACGGTCCGTACTTCCGGACTTCGGGAGTCCGCCTCCGCTCCCCGACACTCAGCCTTGGCGCCCTGACTCCCACGGCCAGCCGCCTCGCAGCCCCTCGCGGCTCCCCCCACGCGCGGTGGTACGGCCCACGGCCGGGCGGGCGCACTGCGCTGGGCGCGGGGGCCGCTCCGGGCCGCTTCCGCCGCCGGGGGCGGGGCCGGCTGCGCGCCGCCGATTGGCCGCGCGCTGGGACGGCAGCTTCTGATTGGCGGGCGCGGCGCCGGCCCCGCCCCCGCCCCCGGCCGCGGCTGCGGGAGCGGCCGGGCCCGAGTTTGCGGAGGGCCGACCGGGCGCGGCGGCGGCGCGGGTGAGTGTCCCCCCGGGCGGCGGGCGGCGGGCCCGCGGGGCGGGCGGGAGGTCTGGGCGGCGCGGGTGGCCCCCGCCCGCCGTGCATCCCCCTGCGCGGCGCGGTCCTCCCGAGCCCTCCCGGCGCCTCCCCGCGGCGACCGCGTCCCGCCCTCCAGGGCCTGGGGCGCCGGGGCAGCGCTGGGGCCTCCAGGATAATCAAGAAACGGGCGCGCGGGCAGCATCCGTCGACGGATTCCGTGTCCGGTGTTTACCGTGCGCGCCGCGGAAGCCGCCCACCTCGTGGAAGGTGCTGTTACCGCTTCTAGAGGTGAACTGGCAGGCCCAGAGAAGGGGGAGTGACTGGCGCGAGGTCACACAGCTAGTAAGTGGCAGACCTGGGACTGAAAGTCGTGCCTTAGAGTCCAGAACTCGAGTCTCAGCCGCTAGACCAGAAGCCCCGTGGCTCCGTGGCTCGGGCTTCCCTACCAGCTCCCGTGCCACACACCCATGCATACCACCTGGGCCACACCTGCTGGTCTCTGCTTCCCTCCCCCAGAGGTGACCAGACACCAGCTGCTCAGACAGGAAGCTGCCCCCATGTCCCTTCTCCCCTGAGCTAAAAAGGCAAGGCTGAGAAGGTCCTGAGAGAGTGACGTCTTCAGGGGGCCCAGGACCCTCGAGTCCTCTGCCTGCTGGACGCCCCTGGGAACCCTGGGCCGAGGCCCGCGGTAGGCCTTCTCCCCGGAAACACCCAGGAGCCGGTTTTTCAAGACTGAATCAGAGGCCTCCCGCCCTCTTCCCCAAAGCAATGCCCAACTGGAAAGGGGAGCCTGGGCGTGGTGTCCCCCTCCCCCGGCTTCTGAGGACTCCCAAGACCCAAGACCCCACCTCCTGCTGCCCCACTGTGGCTCTGTGTGGCCGTGGGGTTGCTAAGTTTCAGGCCCTCCCAGGGGAGGGAGGGTGGGCGGCTGGATTTGCAGCCCCCTAGCTCTGGCGGGGCTGGAACGCCTCCCCATCCCTGTGTGCCAGCCCATTTGAGAGGCCACGGAGTGAGGAGGGCGGGGCGGTGCACAGCTCGCCAGGCTGCTGAGGAGGGCGGCTCCAGAGCCGTCAGAAGGGGCGTCCACAGGGTCCTTCTTCCACAGTGTGTGTTGAGCTCCTCTGAGGGGCCAGGCTCTGTTCTTGGCACAGAGGGTACAATAGGGAATGGGACAAAATGCCCGCTCCCTGGGAGCTGCCATTGTGGGGGGAGACGAGTGACAGACCTGTGAGCCAGTGAATAAGGGAGGCACCTGCAGATGCTGCTGAGTGCTCTGGGTAAACACGAGGGGCGGCAGGGGAGAGAGCAGGCACCAGGGGCTCTCGGAGGGGGTGACTTTGGGGCCCAGGTCTGAATAACAAGCAGCAGCCAGCCCTACGAAGGTCAGGCGGGACGAAGGCTCTGTGGCCGGGCCACGCTCTGAGCTCAGAGCTGCAAGCCGTGTGGCCGGGGCAGGAGAAGCAGCCAGAGCGGCGATCCTGCAGCCTCTGTGGGTCACCTGAGGGAGTTTGGAGCTTCTCCTCCGTCAGGTCAGGTGGGGACCTGTTGTAAGATTTGAGGCCAGGGAGTGACTTGGTCTGGTTTACGTTTTAAAATAGAGACATGAAGTTAAATAACAGCTTAAGACTGGAAGACAAGAGTTCTGCCCGGGCAACGTGTAATTAAGTTCATGGGCCTGAGCTGTCAGGACCACAGGGACGGTTCCAACAGGCTGGGGCAAGCTGGGAAGGCTGCCTGGAGGAGGTGGCCTGGCATAGGCCTTCCCAGGCAGAGAGGACTGGGATGTTCCTGGGCAGGGCAGGGGAGGAGGCAATAATAATAATGACAATAATGATAACAGCTTCTTTAAACTGAATGTCAAACAAAGTGGTAATCGGGTTAAATGCATAATCTCTTTGGATTCCCATAAGGACCCTGACAGGAATTCTGCCCTTTTTTCAGATGAGGAAACTAAGACCCCATGAAGTGAAGTGACTTGCCCATAGCCACACAGCTGGTAAGTGGCAGGGGCGGGATTTGAACCCAGGCCACTCTGCCTCTTCTGGCCTGGAAGCCCAGACTTCATTAAGAACCGGCCTCCCTCAGCACTGCTATTCCCCTCACAAGTGCGGGCATGGAAGCCAGCCTGAAGCAGGGCAGCGCGTACAGGCAGAGGAAGGGGGCTGGCACTGGGGAGCAGGATGTGGGGCCCTGGGCAAAGGAAGAAGCTTGAATCTTGGCAACTCGCTGAAAGATGGTACAGGTGGAATAGTAGTAATGATCACCAATATTTATGAACCTGTATTGTGTGCCAGGAGCTGTTCCAGGGCATGCGTGATTGCCTTGGAGCTCAGAGAGGTGAGGACGTGTGCCCAAGGTCACACAGCTAGTAAGTAGAGAAGTCAGGTCCAGACTCATGTTCTTAGTATCTTGCTAAAATATATGGGGAGCTGGGGGAGGGGAATGACAGGGGGTGATGGCGAGGGTTTTTTCTTTTTAGCATCATTTTGTGTAATGAAATAACTTGGGGGTCCAGCCTGGTGTCTGAGTGGTCAAGTTTGCGTGCTCCACTTCAGTGGCCCAGGGTTTCACTGGTTCAGATCCTGGGTGCGGACATGGCACCGCTCGTCAGGCCACGCTGAGGTGGTGTCCCACATAGCACAATCAGAAGGACCTGCAACTAGAATGTACAACTATGTACTGGGGGGCTTCCGGGAGAAGAAGAAAAAAAAAGGAGAAGACAACGGATGTTAGCTCGGGTGCTAATCTTAAAAAAAAAAGAAAAGAAAAGAAAAAAAAGAAATAACTTGAGGGAGCAGTACTGGTTTATTCATTCAGAATTTATATTTTGTCAGATATTCAGTGAGCGCCTACTGTGTGCTAGATCCACTGATGGGTGCTATGGATAGAGAGATGAGATAACCAATAAAAGACTAGTATCCAGCATATATAAAGAGTTCTCACAAATGAATAAGAACAAGAAAGACAGGCCTTGCAATTAAAAACAGACACCATGCACTTTTAAAAATGGGCGAAGACTTAAACAGGGAATTCAGAAAAGGGCAAATCCAAACGGTTGATAAACGTATGCAAGGTTGTTTGGCATTATTGATTATGAGGAGAGTGACAAATGAAACCACAGTGAAAGACAAGAGATGCAGTCCCTGTCTTCCTGGCTGCAGGAGGCCCCTGCCCTGTGCCCATAACTGTGCTGGGAAGCAAGGGAGGGAGACCCCAGAGGTAGGGCCTGTGCTGTTGCTGGGGAGACAAGACCCTCCTGTAGGCAGCACCTGCAGCCTGTGCCTCTTATCTCCCCACACCCGGGCACAGGGCCTGGGGGGCTGGGGAATATTAGGATCCTTCATTCATCCATTCATTCGTTCAACACATATTTATTGAGCAGCTGCTCTGTGCCAGACACTGGTCTCTGCACTAAGAATATAGGGATGAATGAGACGGACAGAATTCCCTGCCCTTTCAGAGCACAGACAGTGAAGGAGATAAATGAATGAAATATATATTCCCCCTGAAAGAGGTGAGAGGGGGAGTTGTGTGGATTCCAGAGGGCACAGCCAACGCAAAGGCCCTGAGGCTGGACTTGACCCTGTGTGTTGGAGGGATGGGGACGAGGCCCGTGTGGCTGGAGGGAACGAGTGAGGGGAAGAGCGGGGAGATAAGGGCAGGGAGGAGAGGGGGCCGGTCCTTGGGGCCTGTAGGCTGAGGGGAGGACGTGGACTGTTACTCTGAGGGAGGTGGGCGCCCTGGGAGGGGTGGGGCAGAGTGCAGACGTGACGGGACTTCCATTCTCCAGGGTCGCTGTGGCTGCTGTGTCGACAAGAGGCCGTCGGGGCCAGGGCAGGAGCCAGGAGAGCCAGAGGACGCGCCTGCACTAGTCTAGGTAAGCGAGGACGGGCTGGACCAGGGGACGGTGGAGAGGGGTTGGAGAATGAATGAATGAGCGAATGAATAAATGAGTGGAGGCATGAGGACACTGGCTGCACTGGATCCAGGATGGCTCCCTGGAGGAGGCGGGCTGGAGGCAGGGAGCAGGAGTCCCCTATCCACAGAAACAGGATTTGGCCTGCTGCGATCCCCATACAACTTGGCCACGTGGACGGGGCAACCCATCTGCAGACCAGGCCCACAAGGCCCAGGTGCTGAGGGGACAGGCAGCTTTGCGGGTATGAACTTGGAGTTGGGAGTCAGACGGCCTCGGTGACTTCGGACATGTGACTTAAAAGTGACATGTGAACTCTTTCCCAGTCCCTAAGGCCGCATCACCTCTGTTCCTTCCCTCTCACGTCCTCCTGTTGTGCACCCCCTCCAGCTGCACCACTCTCTTGCTCATCTGAGTCTGCTCCGAACTCTCCAGGGCTCCCACCTCACTCAGAGCAAAAGTCTGTCCTCCCGGAGGCCCACAAGGCCCGGCTCCCTCTGCCCTGTCCCCTCCCTGCCCCACCTCCCCCTGCTGTCCCCGTGATTCACTCTTTTCCAACTACATGGGCGTCCTTACTGTTCCTCCAACATGCCAAGCCCGTCCCCACCTCAGGGCCTTTGTACTGGCTGCTCCCTCTGCCTGGAACGTTCTTGCCTCCCATCCTCATGTGGATACATCTTCCTGTCCTTGAGGTCTCAGGTTCAGCTTCGCCTGCTCAGAGAGCCCCCTGACCCTGTCGATAGAACTCGTGTCGGGTTATTGTCTCCATAGCACTATTAGAAATTATATTAGCCATTTATACATTTGCTTGCTCGTTGTGCATCTTCCCCTCTGGACTGCATGCTTCTGGACAGCATGGACGGAGCCCCAGCTAGACTGTAGAAACAGGCAGCCCTTCCTCCCAGCAGACACA